CTCCATGTCCCTCCTCCATGTCCTCCTCCATGTCCTCCTCTCTGTCTCTCCTCCATGTCCTCCTCCATGTCCTCCTCCATGTCCCTCCCATGTCCTCTCCTCCATGTCCTCCTCCATGTCCCTCCTCCATGTCCTCCTCTCTGTCTCTCCTCCATGTCTCTCCTCCATGTCCCTCTTCCATGTCCCTCCTCCATGTCCCTCCTCCATGTCCCTCCTCTCTGTCCCTCCTCCATGTCCTCCTCCATGTCCCTCCTCCATGTCCCTCCTCCATGTCCCTCCTCCATGTCCCTCCTCTCTGTCCCTCCTCCATGTCCTCCTCCATGTCCCTCCTCCATGTCCCTCCTCTCTGTCCCTCCTCCATGTCCCTCCTCTCTGTCCCTCTTCCATGTCCCTCCTCCACGTTCCTCCTCCATGTCCCTCCTTCATGGCCTTCCTCTCTGTCCCTCCTTCATGTCCCTCCTCCATGTCACTCCTCTGCGTTCTCACTCATGTCCTCTTCCATGTCCTCATTAGTTGGAATGTGAAAGATTTTAATAGGCCAAAAAGCATATTTTACTTTTATTAGAACACACCAGATTAGAATATGAAACTGAAATTTGTATACTGATGATAATGTACTTTGGGGATTTTTCTAGTCTCGTGATGAATGCTGTATTTCATTTTAAATTAGGCTTTTCTTTAAATTAATAGATAATGTATCTTATTTTCACCTAATAAGCCTCATTTTTTTCTCCTAGAACGTACAAAAAAATTCAAAAGTAGGGAGACAGAGATGCCTATTCTTTATGTTCCCTTTGGTTGGCAACAAAGCATGCTCTAAGATCTTCAACTGCATTCAGAGTGGGAAGCTGGAGTGGGAAAGGGTCCATGAGCCTGGATAGTGTGGACAGAGCTGTGTGTGCAGAGGGAAATGAAGATGGAAGTCCTTCGATCTGGTCTGCAGTGGCTCCAGTTGAGAGAATGAGGTGGAGAACTCTGCCCTCTTCCATCAGGCTCCCTTTGAATTTAAAAAAATGATAATTAAGTGTAGTTTACCACAATTCGCATGTCTTCTATTTTCAACATAGACTGACAGGATGTACTTTATCTAACAGTCCATTACCTCCACACTTTCTAGTATTAAAGTACATACTGAGTGAGCTCTGGGACACAGTCTTGGTGCCTCTCTTTTTTTTCCGGGGTTCATTTATCCTACAAGTCAAAAGGAAGAGCTATCACATTGGTTCAGCTAGTCCCTCATCCCTTATCTGGGGAAGACAAGGATCCTCAGGTGCCAACTGAAGGGACCAAATTAGGCCAAGGAATGTATCTTAAAAGAAGAGACAGGTGGTGACTGGCATGTTCATTGGGAGAGAAGGCTCTGTCAAAGGGACACAATTCAGACATCAAGTTTCAGACCGTGAGGAAAAGTGCAGAGCTTAGAGGATCGGAGGCTCTGTGGAGGGCAAGGTTCTTCTAAATTTAAGAAAATGGTGAGGCCCTGGGGAGGAAGCACAAGACCCCAAACGGGAAAGCGGAGACCAACATGGTGGAGGCTTTCTCACCTGCCTCCCTGGCAGCCCACATGCCAAGCCAGGTGCATACCAAGAGCAGACTGCCCTGTTCCAGGCGGACTTAATATTGTATCACTTAATTCCATAAGCCTCATTCAGAGGGACTGTGCATGTGAGGCCTATATCCTTGAAATCTGAGTTGAGTGCTTTGAAAAGATGCCATTAAGAAAATGCTCTAAAAAATCTATGCCCATTTGGCTATGGATGAATCACCTATAAGTAAATGAGGAAGATCGTCTAAAAACTAAATCAGCCGCATACATGTACTCGTCTGTATTTTTCAAATGACTTTGAACTAATACATGTGCCACTGGTTTTCCATACCGCCTAAGTATTATTTATCTTTCCTCTCCCTCTCTCTGTATAATTCTCGCTATTCCCTCCCCCATTTAAAGTATCCCCCCTTTTCCCCCACTTCCCTCTTAAGAATCTGTCTCCTACTGCCCCCTCCATGAGCTCCTCCTTCCTCTTTATCCCCATGGTTTATTTCCAGTTTCCTGACTCCTGCAGTTACATCAGGATATACAGTCACATTTAGGGATTTGAAACTAAGGCCCACGAGTGAGAGAGAGCATATGCTGCCTGTTTTTCTGAGTCTGTGTTACTTCCCTTAGTATAACATTTTCTAGTTCCGTTCACTTACCTGCAAATTTCATTATTTCAATTTCCTTTACTGCTAAATAGAACTCCTTTATGTAAATGTACAACATTTTTGTTATCTATTCAGCAGTTGAGGGACATTTAGGTTGTTTTCATTTCTTAGCTATCGTGAAGAGAGCAGCAACAAGCATGGCTGAGTAAGTATCTCTGTAGTAGAATGAGTCCATTGGGGGTGCCAAGGGGTGGTATGACCATATCATATGGTAAATTTATTTTAGTTTTTTGAGAGTCCTCCATACTATACTAATTGTGTCAGTTTGGAATCCCACCAACAATGGATGAAGGTACCTCTTTCCTGGCATCCACACCAGCATTTTGTGTCATAGTGCTGGACAGGAGAAACTTCCCTCTGAGTTGTTGGTCAGGTAGTCCAAGAGAGTCCCAAAATAACACAGGCTCTTTTCACAGCCCTTAATTGCCTCCAAGAACTTGAAGGTAAGGCCCTACTGCTGAAGATAGGCCACACTTTGGACCCAGGACTTGGGGCAATAGAGCTGGAATTGACTTGAGAGCCTCCTCCCTGAAAACTAGCTCTCATAGTACCAGAGGAAACTTTACAAGCTGCCAAGGGAGAAAACTACCAATGGTCCTACCCAGCTGCAAAGCCTAATAAACAACGACTGGTCCAGCAAATTATCTCTATTGGTTCAGTAGTGGAACTTTTATCTTGGGGGTAATCAACAGCTGCCTGATTGAAATTTAGGCCCCACTCAGTGGCGGGAACTCATATGTGCTACTATAAACAGAGTCAAATACAAATAGCTAGAAAGGTCATAGATCCTAGAGAAAACCTTATTTTTGCCACATCCCTAGACCAATGCAATTTCTTACTTTATTTTAAATACATATCCTCATATTTACAGACAAGTGTACCTTTCACCCCTCACCAAAGAAGCTTCTTTTTTGCAAAAGATGGATACTATTATGGAGTTCTAGAATTGGTAAAACACAGAGAATAAGTGTCTGTGAGATGCTTAACCCTAAGTGACATGTCATTGGTGCAACTTCTACACTTAGGACGAATGCGTTTCTTAACTCTCACCAGAAAAGTTTCCTTATGCAGCAGATGGTGATTAACACAGAAACCTACAATTGGCCAATGTGCAGAGAACAAGAGGCCACAGACTGCTTATCCCTGAATAGGACACCTATTTCCAAACTATGCCTCCCAGGGCTCAGGAATCATTGCAAGAGAGACAGAAAGAGTGTAAGAGCCAGAGGGGGTCGGTAACCATGAGAAGCAGGGTCTTCCAGACAGCTGATTATTTATTTAAATGAACTCAAACAATAGTGACAGCATATACAAGTCCTATGCAAGCTCAAATCAGACAAAATCCCAGCATAGACACGGGGAGGTGGGTAAGAAATTCCAACACAATCTAAGGAGCTTTGGACAATCGACAGCTTCTAGAAGGGGCAAAGACAGGGTCTTGCAGGGGATGGGGCTCTTGGTGATCCCAGTGGATGGACCCACACTGCGGGGCATTTGGGGACACAAAATAGACTCTATAGGACATATATATGAGTATAGTAAATTGGACAGGAAGGAGAGGCGGGGCAGAGAAGGAATCAAAGTACCATCAAACTATATTGCATGAAAATTGCAAAAATTCTATTAAAATCCAATTTAAAAAGCTAAATCAGATTCTAAGTCCTTTGCATACATTGACAAGTTTTTGTCCATTCATTGACCTGGTCGTTTTCAAATGGCTCCATCTCACCTCTATGGGTGGAAGAGACAGATGACTGAACAGGCCTATGGTCCAATGGTTGAGCACATAGGTGAATGTAGTAATAAGCTAGTAAATTTCAACAACCTGATCTCTGAAAAGGAAAGGACAAAGCCCCGATTTGTCACATTTGCCACTGTCCTTGGGGTAAATGACATCACGTCACAGCAGATTCCAAGCTGCCAACATGAAGCCTCTGAGTGGAGCAGGGAGGAGATGTGGACATCTGCCTGTGGGAAGGCTGTGCTGCAACATCCTGGGCAGGAGAGAAGTGGGAGGAGAAGCTGGCATGGGTTCATGGGAGTTCACACCTCACTGACACATGGAGACTAGGGAATGAAAGGACTGTGCTCCTGTGTGCTCACACAGGCCTCTCCTGCACACTGCTCTCAGGGCTGGTAACCATTCCTCTTCCCATCTGGAGAGTCAGTGTGGCTCCGCTGCCTGAACTCTCACACTCAGGGAGTAGGACCAAGGGACCAGAATCACACACAGGCTTAAATGGTCCACATGCACACGCTCTGGTCCTACCTTGGGGCAGGCCCTAGTGTCTCCATACCATTCCTGTGTCCAAGGCCAGTGTCATTCAGAATGAAAGGGAAGCAGATGGTGACACTACATCCCCCAGGACCCTCTGCTCGCCTTCCTTACGAATGGCACTGGTTTTAGAGATGGTCTGGAGAGACTAGGCACTGCAGCATGTGGGACAGAAATGAGGCCTCTTCTTGTGAGAGCCCCGAAGGGGGCCTAGGTGGGAGACAGCTCTCTGTAGTGCCCCAGGGACCCTAGGTAGGTGAAGGCCTGCTGCACTGAAAGTCTTTTACACTCAACTTACAGGCCAGAAGATCTGATACCCCCTCTCCCTGCAGTGGTCCTGGTTCCTAAAGGTGGCCCATCGGAGTCCACAAACGAAGGCCACAACAAACGCTAGTCTCTTTGCTGTTGTGAAAGCCAAGTCCACAGCATGTTGTATATAAAAGCCTGATCTTGCGATCTTTGCCTTCAGATTTTAATCTGCTGTAATCAATAACTTGTTATACATAACGAAGACAAATGCTACATAATGGGCCTGTGTTTATTAAGTCAATATATGACTCGTAGGGAATTCCTTGGCATTGTTTGTGTGCGGTATAAATATTTTAAGATTCTGCCGGTAACAGGAGTTTCTGTGTATATTATACAGAGTTCTCTTTTATCCAGTTTGAAGCAGCATGAAGGAGCGGATGCAAATTGTCCAAACAAACGCTTGTTTCTCCCTCCAGCTGGGCAGATCATCGTTACTGCCTTCCGGGAGCCCTGGTGGTCCAGCATTTACTCGCAGGTAGGTACTGCTGGGTGGAAGCAGGGCTGCAGTGTGTAGAGGCGAAGTCTGACGGGTGGTGTATGACTGTGTGGTGTGGGTAGTGTGGTGTTTGGTGTGGTGTAAAATGGTGCAGCATCATGCATTACACAGTGTTTTGGGGTGTGGCACACTGCATGATGTACTTTTGTGCTGTGTAGAGTTTTGTGACGTTGTGGCCTACATGCTGCACTGTTTTGTGTAATGTGTTACTGTATCATATGGCATTGTGTGTGATGTGGTATTGAGTAATGTGTGCTTTGATGTGACATTGTGCAGTGTTTTGTTGGCAAGTGAGGGGTGGTGCTGTTGTTATTGTGTTGTGTTACGGAACAAGCTGTAACGTGTCATGTGGTATGGCGAGTGGCATGTAGCATAATGGTGCACTGTGTTTCTTGGTATTGCATTTCAAAGTGTGCATGGTATAGCATAGCATTTCATGATGTGGTATGAGATATGAAATGTTGTATGGTATGTTGTGTGGTTGTGGCATGGTGTGACATTTGAGGTATGATGTATATGTGTGCTTTTTTGGTGTTGTGCTATTGTGGCGTGGTTTTTCCTAGTGTAATGTGTAGTTTTATAGTGTATGGTGGTGTGTACTGTTAGGTAGTAAGATATCATGTAGTGTGTCATTGTGTTGTGTGGCATGCTGTTATGTGATGTTTTGTGGTGTGGTGCTCTGTGCTGTTGTATGGAATGGTGTTCTATGGTATGCATGGTGTTATTTAGAATAGTGTGGTATGTTATTGTGTTGTGTGATGGCATGATGTTGTGTTGTGGTGGTGTTATATAGTGTAATTTGATGATGCGGTGTGATGTAATGCAGCATTGTGTTGTATGATGTGGTGTTGTGGTGGGGTGTGGTATGGAGTTGTCTTGTATGGTATGTATGGTGTTGTGTGGTGTAGTACTGTTGTGTAGTATTGCAGAATGGTGTGGCAATGTGTGGTGTTGTGTTCTGGTGCCCCTGTCATCAGATAATTAGAGAGACATAAATGGTCAGGCTGATACCTTGGAAAGATCTAGAAGGCCACAAAGACACAGAGTGCTTTGACTGGGGGGGGAGCAGAGACAATGTAGGTTGCTGGTACTGATGACCAGTGTCCCCCTCAGCCCCAAGAACTCTGAGCTATGGTGTTGAGAACATGCCTTCGTTCTGTAAGGGGCTGATCCCAACTTAGTTCTCTGGGGTTTTCTCGCTTTTCTGTCCTGATGACCCAGAAGTGTTGATGTCTCACCTTGCCAGTTCATGGTGGCTAACCATCTGCTGAAGGAAGAAGGCAGGAAACTGGCAGCTGGAGTCCTGAGCTTGTGATCTCTTGTCAGATGGACTCTGATGTAATCCATGTCTTGAAATGCTTCATTCCCCATAGCTACCGACTGGACACATAGCAAAATCAAGTCTCCACCTCCCTCACTCCTCAACAGATAAGTACCATGCGCCTTCTTGGTGATAGGTATCAGGTTTCAACTAGGATACGAGAGTGTTCAACAAAATCTAGAGTGCTGTCCTTTCCTATGACACACACAGACAGGGTGGGGACTGCAGAATGGGGGAATGGGGCTGGACTGCAGAGCTGAAGTGAATGGGCATCTGACACTTGGCTCTGATCAGCCTTTTTAGCAGCACATATCCACAGAACATCCAGCTCTAGTCCACACAGAACCATAGCAGTGGTCCATAGTCATCACATCAGGGAGAAGAGAGAACTTCTGTCTACTGCATCCTTGCAAGTGAAAGACATTGTGAAGCCCAGTCTGCAGTGCCACTCTGGGCCTTCCATGAGCAGGTGAGGTGTCAGTGGGTTGGAAGCTTGGGAGTCTCCAACCTAGTAGAGTCTTCACAGACTCGGGGTGTAGGACAAGTCCTGGTGAATGAGATCCTCTGAGCATGCTGTTGGCCTTGCTATTTTGTTATTATGTTAATTGACCTCTTGCTCTATAAATAAAGGAGAAACAGGCAAGTTACCAAATGCAGTGCAATCATGCCTTAATTAATGACTGAACACCTTCTGAGATGTGACCTGTTGACTGATATCATCTCATCATATGAGCACCAGAGTACTTACCCAAACCTGGATGGCATAGCCTGTCACACGCCCAGCTGTGGGTCTGTCCCACTTCTGCTATAATTCCATACAACAGTCACACTAAACACTGTGGGCAGCTATAACACAATGCTGTTCATGTGTTTAGCCATCCAAACACAGAAGTACATTAAAAAATACAAAGCAATAGGAAATTGTGAGCTCCATTATCATTTCCAGAGACTACCACTGCATGCAAGCTCTGTGACCAATGAATACATCATTACTCAGCACACAGATATATACACTTCCTGGTCTTCAGGGCCAAGACCTTGGATTTTCACAACTCCAGATGGAACTTAGCAGCTAGAATAGCTGAGGACTCAGAAGTCAGGATGGATGACTGGCTTCTAGCAGCCTGAGATTTCCACTCAGACATTAGCCCCTGGCCTTGTGGAGGCCTCCAGGTGCTGCAGCTTGGCTAAGCAGTCACCACCTCTACTTAGAGTTGTCCCTGAACTCAAAGTCTCACTGAAAGATGTACCTGGGCCAGACTGATTCTTTTCTCCCAAAGCTGACCTTTGCATATAGTCTGTGCAGCCCTGAGTATCCTTGACCAGTGTGGATACTCAGCCCATGGTAATATGCTTGATGGATGTTCTGGGACGGCCTATGCACAGGTACCAAAATCTCCATCCTTGTGGGTTTAAATCTGAGTAGATCTCAAAGACTATCTTCTAGGCTCTGTCTTCATTCAACATCTACACGTACATTATCATGACCCCCTTTCACAAAGCATTTTCTCCTGTGTGCATTTCTCAAGCTAAAAGTCAAGACCATTTTAAAGGTTTCTCTTTGCCTACTAGAGAATTCTTTTCATTTTACCAGGAGAGTGAATGCATACTGCCTTCTGGAGTGGTTACCAGAACACTGATGGGCCTCTGAACCATGGGAGGGCCACAGCATGTGCAGGCAGGAAGCCACAGGGAGCCCATTATCACATGGCAGCCAGGTCAGAATTCTGGGATGGTAACAGTCTCATTGTGCTTAGCTTCCTCATCTGTAAAATGGGAGGCAAAGCCACCTGCCTGGTAGGGTTATTGTGAAGAGTAAATAAATTAAACCACGCAAGAACCTTTCTGAACACACTTTGCAAGGACCAGATGCTGTCTCACCTGACTTTGAGCAGCAAATCTGAATAGCAATCCCATAGCCTGGTGGAACAGGTAAACACTTATGACTAGAATTTCAATTAACAATGATCATCATTTAAATTCTCCTTTAAATTGAGCTCTTGGAGGCTCATGTGCTGATGAAGTCGCACGATGTCCCTGTCTGGAGTGCACCACCTCATTAGCTAAGAGGGGAACCTGAGATTAAAGCTAAGCCTTCCAAACACAAAGAAAGGGGATTTTTTTTCCAAAGGAAAAAATTAAAAGGAAAATTGAGCTGGCCCTGGTAATAATATACTCTTGTTTCCCTGCCCAGTCCCTGCTGTAGGCTTAGCTCCTCCTAGGTAGCAGGCCAGGCAAGGCCTCACTGACACAGCTAGCTGCTTGGGACAGGTCTCTACTGCTGCTGGCTTCTCCAGGAAGTACCTGGGAGAAATCCCCACTACTCCTTTCCAGGAAGCAGAATGTATTTGAAAAGAAACCCTGAGGCCCTGAGCAGCTGACGCAACTAGGGGAATAAAGCAGACTCCTGACCGTTTGAAAAAAAGTTAGTGATCTGTGCAGCCCAGGACTCTGGAGGCAGCTGCAAAGACCCCTCACCAGGGGTAGGTCCCAAGGAGGTATGGAACGTCAATACTTTTATCTTCACGGAAATTACCCTTAGAGCTGGAGCTGTAGAACCAGGAGGTGAGAGGGATGGTCTGGTCCTCGGTCCCAGGAGTTAGTCTGCCCTTAAGCGGAAGGACCAGAACTCAAAGAGGAGGATCACAAAGAGGAAGGGAGATTGTACATGGCCTACCACACTTATAAGGAACTGATGTGTTTCTCAGGGGACCCTGTTTGGTCCTGAGGGAAGGTTGTTACACACGGCAACACAGCTCCTCCCCAGCCTCTCGACTTCTTGTCAGGAAGTATGATCACTCCCTCTTTGCTCTGACTCCACCACGATGCATCCATACAGGAAGAAATACGCCCAAGGCAGCCCTTGCCAGGACCAACATTGTGCTGTTTGGACTCACGCCTTCCAAAGCTGTGAACAAGATAATCCTCTTTTCTTTACAAAGTATCCTGGCTTACATCACATTATAGCAGTGGGAAACTGACTATTGCAAAATGAAGTTAGTCTATGTGAAGATGGCTCTAGAGGAACCTGGTGGCCAGTGAGAGGACCACAGCTACGGGTAAGCATTCCCACCAGTGCTCTCTGCTCCACTCCACAGAGAGCCCTCCACATGGGTTAGAAGGCATGGAGAGCCCTGTGTCCATCTGGCCTCAGCTGTCTGCCGTGATTTTAGATGAGGTGTGAATATAAGCAGGAGTCCAATGACATCAAGCCTAGAAACAGCTGAACGATGAAGCCGAGTGGCAGCCTTTGATGTTGAAAATGAACAGGTACTATGCAAGATTAGGTGTCGTGGTTCAGAAACAAGCAGTTCTGAAAAAAGACTCCAATTCTATTTGTGCCAAGCTTGCCTTACGGAGTATGTGCAAAGCCTCCTGGGTACCCTGTGTCATGTAACTACACTCACTTGATTCCTTCTCAGTTTAGGCATTGCTTGAGATTCAGTCTCATCATCTCGGCCCTGTCTCAGATGACTCATTCTTCTAGGACCTGAATGCCATTTGACTGGACTCACTATGGCAGACCCCAGCATCAAGGCAATGGAACCCAGCATTGCCCTTGTGCACACATGCCCGTGGTAGACATGGCTAATCAATCCTGGTTCTCCTCCCTCTGGGAAGACTAGACAATATTGCCAGTTTACAGAAGCAGAAATTCTAGAATAGACAGAATGCATTCATGCCTTGAAGAAAGAGCTTACAGCTCCAGCAAAAGAAAAGTAATTGAGATGAAGTGGTCCACAATGATCTGTCCCTGGAGTTTCATTTGTCTTATGAAGAAATCACTAACAGATAACACAGGAGGATAAAGGGATTGTGCTTCCTGCAGAATGTTGACTGGCACACTGTGTCCATGGGTATACCAGCCACTCCATGCCAACAAATCTTCTCCAGTCTCCAGCAAAACAGCCTCTCTGGAGACAGGTGGCCATGGCTGGTGACTACTTGAGGCCCCGCCCTCAAGTTCTAAAAGATTTCATAACTGGCTCTTTATGGGAAAAATTTTGTACATTTTATAGGCTGTTTAGGAAAAGTCCCTGGCCAAGCGTTCCAAGCTGTCATAGTGCCCTTAGAATTTCATGTGAGAATGACAGGTTTGAACACAAACAGAATTCACTCCCAAATCACCTAGTCTGGGACACAGCCCTCCCACTCCCCTCTCATGCTGCCACACCATTACGTGAAATCCCTGAGCAAGTCTGTCTGCCGACGTCAGAAAGCAGAAGGCTTCCAAAGGAAGGTGACAGTCCTGTAAATCTGAGTCATCGAGCTGACAGACTGCCACAGCTGTGAAAGCAGGACTGCTGCGGACTTCCTCAAGTGGCTTCTAACTGCCCAAGGTGAAAGATAGGTGTGACTGCCCTGACTTTCTGTAAGTCATTTAGGAGATTCAAAGTCTCATTTAGGAGAAAAGCCTGGCTTGACAGACTGGGATTGAAACTATTCCCCAACTCAAGCTCCAAACTCGGTTCTCGCACACCCTGAAGTGGTGTGCACAGTCACGTAACTAACCATTTGGGGAACTTGCAATGTGCCAAGTACTACCCTAAGCTCTTTGCAGACAGTCCTTGGGCCCCCATGCAGGAGCTATAATGATGCAGTTCCTGAGACTAGATGCAGAGCAGACATGGTGTCAGGCCTATGCCTGGAGCTGGCTGTGGTCTTCTGAGTGGCCCAGCTTGCCCAAACTGGTGGGATGCCTTATGAAAAGTAACACTGTTGGACTCGATACAGCTGAATTTCCCAGACTTGTGAGACAAAGACCACGGCAGGGCTAACTGCAGAGGCCGTGGGTCCCAGAGGCTCACAGACCTAATGTGGTGGTGGGGGGGGGGGCAGACACCATGTTTAATCTCTGATCTCATTGCTTTTGATCACAAAATGGAAACAACCTCTTCATGCTCCGAAGTTTGTATGTACAGCAGTGAGTACCAACTCAGTCCTGAAAAGACAAAAGGTGTCTTTTGTGTACTTAGCACAGCACCACAAACACTTACCTTGTACAGCACCTAACCAGAAAGTGCCATTTCCGTACAAAACTGAGCACTTAGCCTACGAGAGGTCTCTCACTGATTCCGATTTCTGCTTTGCTGACTTCCCTTCTTGGCATTACCAGGAGGAAAGACCCTGCTTATTTTCCAGACCCTCTGTGACCTAGAAAGCCTCAACAAGGAACTCATATGTATCTTTCTGTTATAATCTGGAACCCCTTGTAGCATCTGTGATGAGAGGTTGAAGGGAGTTCCTAGGAGCCAGAGCACTTCTTACTGATGGTTCTGAGACAGTAAGTGTGATTGCAAATTGGAAATGTTAGTCTGGATGGTCCATGGGGCATCCAGATGCTTAAACAGTCCACAGATGCCCCGATACTTAGCCAGCATTATTCTGGGTCATCTGGGGGACCTTTGGACAATACCGATATTTGAGTTAGTAGACTGAGTGAGCAGATGTCTTTCCCAGTGTAGGTAGGCCTCATGTCATCTGTTAAAGGCTGAACAGAGCAAAAATACTGGTCTTTCTTGAAGTGAGAGGGACTCCTGCCTAACAGCTGAGTAGGGGCACCAGCCCTGTCAACCTTCAGACTTGAGCTGAATTGTCAGCTGCTCTTGAACATCAAG